TACTTAATAAGACTGTCGTAGCTTTTCTTGCCTGATAAGCCTGCAGCAGCTATTCTTGCCTAATAAGCTGTCGCAGCTATTCTTGCGAAATAAGACTGTCGCAGCCATTCTTCAAAAGACTGGAGCAGTTATTCTTGCCCAATAGTCTGTCATAGTCTTGCTAACAAGGCCGTCGCAACTATGCTTGCCTAATAAGACAGTCGCAACTATTCTTGCACATCTCCCGATATTTAATGTTACTTTAAGATATTATACGAATTTACGATAATTATACATTTTTAACATCGCAACTTTTTTTAATTTTTAAACTGGTGATTACCACTTTCATCATCAGCCTCTCTCAGTCCAAAGCTGGACATAGGCCCCTCCCAATGTACGCCATTTCGCCCGGTCCTAAACTTGTCGCATCCATCTGCTGCCTGCCGCCTTTCGCAGATCGTCACTCCATCTGACCAGAGGGGCGTTCTACGCTACGTTTGCGGAGCCGTGGTCTCCACTCAAGAACTCGCTTCCGCAATCGGTTATCACTGCCACTTCAGCTCGCATTCTATCAGCCATGCCAACGATCTTGGTCCTCTGTCGGATAACATCAATTCGAATCTTATCCTTCAGAGGAGCTCTGAGCATAACTTGTTCCATAACTCGCTGAGCGATTTTTGTCCGAATACCGTACCTTTTGTAGTCAGTCGTTTGATTCTCAATATTACACTTAACCCTAAATGCAAACACAAATCGAACAAGATTAAGCAATGTCGCTAGTTTATCTGAACACTGTTAAAAAATCCCAACCCTTTTAAGACATTTGCTTGAATCTCAAAATTTTTTTTATCATAAACAGCTGTTACGAAACGCTTCCTAAATGGAAAGGCAAATCGAACAAAATCTCTTTCAAGTTAATTAAGCTAATTCGCTTTAAAGTTCGCTATTAAAAAGCTACTGTTTTATCACTTGATTCAAGCTTTACGGCTTTAGTCTCAACTGAAAGGACGCTTTCATTCCACTAACAGCTTTGAAAGATAAATTAAGTGTACTCGACCTTTGGGCATCCAAACCTCTCACTTGACGTTTTAGTGAAATTTTCTGTCAAATTTAAGATGGTTGACCAAATTGCAAAAGCGGCACTACTAATGGGGTCTGAGTCATTGTATATTTTGTAGAAATGGAATATAGCAGAAATAAGTTCGACAATATGAACAGCAAGTGTACATTGTTGCCAACTTCTGAAAGCTATGCCCCCTTTAATATTTTACTATGAGCGTAGAAATTTATTTTGTTATTTTTAAAATAAATAATCTACATATAAAAGGTAGCATAGCAGCGCACTTTCTTGCTGAACTCTCTTTGTAATTATCACACTGTATTTTTTCATATTCATCATCCTCATCTATCTGTATAGATAGATGATTTCACCCACCGCCAAATATTGCACGTATTTATGATACTTATATGTACGTATTTTTCAATTATTTCTTTTAACAACGCCCGATAACTCATAGCCCCGCACTAACTCAATCGAGAAATTAATGTAGGCCATACAAATATTTCTTCCGAGCCGGGTATCGAACCCGGGACCTCTACGTGACTGACCAGCATGCTAAACGTTCAACCACAGAGGCAGTTAAAGTTATTTTGCTAGTTCATAATATTTCTCCCTGTCTCTCTTGCACGCTGTTGCCTGCTATTGACCTATGCTCTCACTGCTTTGGGTCGGCAGAAATCTCTTTTAGAAAAAAGTCCACCTGTGCTTCCTTCCATATAATTAATATTTCTTTAGTATAAGTACGAAAATGGGCCTCCTCCCACGACGTACCAAATGCTTTCACCACGATGACAAGCATTATAGTGTATGCCATCGATACAATAAGAAGGAAAAGAATATGCAAGTACTTGCCAGTATTTTCTAGTATAAAGTACATAGAAAAACATTGAGTAATCAAATTAACCTATCGACAAACTCGATAAAACCAATCACAACATGATTAAATTCAACACTTGAAATGGTTGTCGCAATCATTGTGTTTGATAGACACAGAACATTTATTACAAGGGAACACGTAATGTGATGACCTGAAATAACATTTTATATATTTCTCACACTGTTTATTTTGCTAGTGTAATTTAAAATTATTTCGCAATAACGGTAAATAGTAATAAACTAAATCTTTTACAAAGTTAACTTTTTTAAACAGAGGTTTTATAAAATGAATTTTATAACGCTCATTTTGGCGAAGAGCCAATGTAGTCTATATAAATGCTATTCGAATAAAATATGCACACACTGTACGTCTGCGAGCAAATTCTCTTACTTTGTGATAGTAAAATTCGTATATACTTTTTCGCTGTTCAGCAGAATTTGTGGTCATCGAACAACGAATTGTAATCTCAAATCTTATACTGACTTCAATTACTTTGAAGATTTTGTGTATATCCTACAATATCTTTCTTCATTGTTATCAAAAATTGCATTGCTTCTGTAGCAGTAGAGCCCCTTGTGAAAGACTTCTTACCTATTTCTGCCGCCAAGGAGTAACATGAGTATTGCTGCACTTCCGTTTTGAAGGATAAGGAAGCTGGTGAAATTACAGGCATAAGGGACTTGTTAACTTATGTCTCAGGATGATGAGCGCAGTGGCCGTGCACCTCATATCTTTGTGATTTAAAGCTCTGAGTGGCACCACAAGCGTGTCGACTATCTATCACGATTTGTTCATCCCGCCATTGGGTATCATAAAAAAATAAAAATAAAAGCAAACGACGTCATCAGCCGTCATAACAGTTCTTCTAGTTCTTTAATGTCCCGAAACTATTCAACAAAAATTTTAACCCCTCTACTGTGTACTAATTGATGCATATTCCGACAATAACCAAACTTTTGCGAAAACGAACAAAACCACAATGTATATGTGATTGTATAAAGGAAACATTGTATCGTGACCGTGGAAACTATAGCTGAAAATCCACCAGACAGCTTCAATTAAAAAAAGACGACCACTAAGTATCTAAAGTTTTATTTAAATCGTTACCCATATGTTTTGGTAGCACAAGTCTTTAGATGAACATTTTCATCATAGAAAACGATTTTCTTCGTGTTTGATCTATGTATTAATATAAACTATAATCATAATAAAAACAAGTGTAGTTCGAATGGTCTTAACTAAAACATTTCATCGACTTCTTAGGTTTTCGCGATCGCTACACATATTTTTCCCATCTAAATTTGTTTTATTTGTTCTTTCAAACATGTTACTTTGTTATAATTATGAATACAAAGATCGAACACAAAGAAAAAGTCCTTCGGCCCGACAGGCTTGAACCTGTGTCCATGCCATACCGCGGCGTTGCTCTGCCAACTGAGCTAATGAAATTTTCTTAGTCAGGTAAGTTTTTCATCGGGTTGTACCTTCCAAAAATCTACACCAACTGATTGTTATATTTTCTCTCTATCACACTGTGAAATGTCGTGACATGGGATTTATGTCGACCCCGAAATTGTTGATTTGTTTCAAATAAATGTTTGCGAATAATCTAATAAACCGCAAAAATGTGTTCATTTCCTATAAAATATTTCGCAGATGATATCAAACTGTTGTAACTCAAAATTATGGAATTGGAAAAACACGATTTAAACATTTTAAATTAAATACTGAATGGAATTTAATGCGAATAATGTAATTATATTTATTTATACATAATATTTAGTTATATATTTATAAACGAGAATATGTATATATTTATTCAATAATTTTTTTAACTTTCAAATTGTCTTTTCCACAATTTTGAGTTACGAGAGTATTTGGTATCACGTGCGATTTTATTTCTATGGATGAATAATATAAATACAATATATTTTTAAAGATTTATAAGTCAACAATCATTAAGTGTGGTGCATTGCACACTTACGTTACTTACATTACGTTTCTTTTCATTTAATAACAGAAAATCAAGGCAAAATATTTTCATTAACGTGCTAAAGAAGATTATAATAACCTAAAATTAGGTATGCAAACCTAATCAAGGGGTTCATTATAAATGAAGTAAGGTGCAAAAAAATATTTTTACGAAAAGTTAACGAAGTCTCGTTGGTTAATGAGTGTACGTGTAAAGCATCTTTGAAACCATATTAGATTTTTGCTAGGATTAAGGTGCACTTCTACTTTTTTTTTAATAAAATGTAAGTGCGCATTTGACCTCCATCTCGCCTGATGGAAAGTGACGATGAGGTTAACGATGGAGCATGCACGCCTAAATAACGCCTATTCACTCTCGCCTTAAAAAGGCTCAAGTTATAACGTTCAGGGAACAAGTCTGCAGGCAGGGAATTCCACAACATGGCCGTTCGCCATATAAACGTGGAAGCGTAACGCTTCGTGCGAATCTTTGGAATATCCACAACATTGGAGTGGAACCCAAGCCTACGCATAGTTCCCCGGTGATGGAAAGGGGAAGGCGGAATTAAATCGTGTAATTCCATCCCACACTATCCGTGATATATTCTGTAAAATACCGATAAGCAGGCAACTATACAGCGGTGTTCAAGGCTCTGCAACTTCGCCTCCACTAATTGCTTTTGCGTATGGAGAAAAATTGCAATGAATTATTTTTTTTGCAATTTTTCGTATACATCTATTTATAGCTAAAACGGCTAAAGCTAAAATTATGTCGCGTTCTTGCTATTGTTTGGTTGTGCTATTTGCTGGTAAATTAAAAACTTACCTATACCTCTACCATGAGTACCTACATTATGACAGTTAACGCTAGCGAACGCGTAAAACGTTTGTATGCAAAGTGTTACTTCTTTTTGTGACCGCTAGGGGCGCTGTGCAAGTTTAGATGTAACATTATCGAGCGTGATACACCAATCGTACGTGATTGACCGCGTTTGTAAAGACGTTAGTAAAACGTTAATTTTTTGTTTTGATTTTATAAGATCACAAAAAAAATTAAAATTCCAATTACGACTTTATTTATTATGATTCATGGTCTGAAGTTCAGATACTGACCTTATAAGCGTCAGGTATGTTAACGGGCTCGCCGCTCTCGGCTACGTAGCCTACGATGCCGCTGCCCCACGGTATCCGGATCTCCTCCAGCTGCTCCATCTGCTCCGGCGTAGACTTGGAGCATACGTCGAACAGTTTTGATACTAGGCATCTGAAAACAATACGATATGTTTTAACTCCAGATGGGTGTCTCCTTAATGGCGTATAAACTTTAAGTTCATCATATTCTCCTACCAATAATTGCAAAGTAACTAATGTTAAAATTCCTGACAACAATAATGATAATAATAAACGGTGGCCTCCACTGAAATAATCCCTATTGTTTTGTCCACAAGCGGGTTAACTCCATTCAGGTTCGCTAGGAGATTGAGATTCCTGTGGCGTGTCGCTTCCAACCCAAACGCAGAAGGCAGTCCTGTTCGATACGGCACTTATTGTTCCTCGGTTCTTGAACCTGAATCAAAGACCCCGGTCAACTGTGCCATTGGCAGGGAATACCGCCTCTCCCATTTGAAAATTCAAAATTTATCTTTTAGGCCATGAAAGAGGCGAGAGTCTAAAATAGACAGGTTTATTAATAAATCTTCATTTAGGAAATGAAACTGTTTTTCCGGATTTAATTAGCGTAATTTGTTTTTTAAACAAACTGAATTTTCGGGCCCTTTACAGGGCACCTCGGTTTGTTTGAAAAAACAAATATATGCGATTTAAATCCGGAAAAACAGTTTCATTTCCTATGTGTAACAATCGCGAAAACCTAAGAACTCGAAAGCTTCATTTGTCTAAAACATGATTTCTTAAACAATAGAAGCTGGCGCCTCCTTTTAAGCATAGCCTGTGTCGGGGGCACCGCCTCTCTTAGTTACGCGTTTCAAATGATGCATAATGAAGCAACTTAACTAAAAAAAATATACAGATATAACTTATAATATACAGATATTCCGACCGTTGTTACCATAAATTTTCAGTTGTGAAATATGTGGCAGTTAAATTTCCAAAACATGTGTCTTAAGAACAAAGTTCTAAGTGCCACGAGTGTTATGTATTCTATAAACGTCTTTACACATATCATTTCCAACGTTTCACAAAATCTTAGGGGAGGCTATTTTAGTCCCACGAACCTTGGATTATTGACAATTTGAAATAAAAGCAACACTACAAAGCAAGACGACAATGATCAAGGATCGCATTAACGGTCTAATTCTGTTTACGTTTCAAAGCACCACAAAAGCCGAAAGCCTACGAGATTCTCAATTACATTTCCAAGAACAAAAGGTTGTCATTATCGAATCTTGAATATTGCACCACAGAATTCTCTGATTTCTCGAATAGCGTTGCCACGAAATGTGCGGATATTCGTCGACTACTAGTGATACAAGAAGAAAACGTGGCAGGCGCACGGCAGTCGTAATAGAATTCCCCTTGGCTGTCTGGGGAATTTCTAATCTGCAAAATAGCTGGAAATGTCCGTTTAACCGCTTTACGCCATCATAAAAGTTATCTAGGAATGCGTAAAGAGGTCGCATAGGTAACTTCGAGAATGTTTTTATTCTAATGCATGTTTATATTAATGACGTCATTGTTATAAATCCAGCTTAAGCGTCTTCCATATTTAACCCATTTAAAAAAAAAGGACGAGGTTCTCAATTCGATTGTATTTTTTTCTGTATTTATGTTATGCGATACCACAGTATGTATCTTCTTTCCAACAAAAAAGAATCATGGAAATCGGTTCACAAATGCCGAGTTATCCCATACCTTACATACAGGAAAAAAATACACTGTAGCACTTCCTGGACGAAGTCTTCCACAACGAGCTCTGCTGCTCCTAATATTGAATAATGATTAAGCCAAACAAATAGTAAATAAATAACGTTGCAATAATGACGCTGAAATGTACTACTCAACACGAAAAAGGTTGTGAAATTACTCCACTAGACAGAACACAAAGAAAAATTAATTCGATTCGGCGGGATTCCAGACAGAGTCAAAAAGGCCAGTCTTTGACAGCTATTAACATAACGTACATAATATATTCAAAAAATAAAAACAAACGCTTATAAATCACGTTATATTATATCATTTCAGTGTATGCTTAATTAGTAAGGGATATAATTTACATAAGTTGGGAAGTATGGGGCGGATCGAAACTTTCAAGAAATAGATCCATCCCTTTATAATCTAATATACCCGATATACCTACTATTATTCAAATTTTAGGATCAACCCACATATCACTGCCTACGACATATTTAGGTCGCGAGCTTGAATCTGCGCCTAACCATTGACACTTTGTTGAAATAAGGAGCTTTTTTGAACCATAAATTGTTCACGTGTTGTAATCAGAATGGTTTCACGAGTGTTAGTGACTGTAGAAATAGTTTTGCATAAATTATAACTATAACTATTTACGAAGTACAATATATAAAATATATTTATTGAGTGTGCTATAGGTAAATTTACAAGCGTTAGTTAAAACAGCCGATAAATATTTTTATATACACCAAAAATGTAAGGAATATTATGGTAGAGACAAATTGCTATAGGTTTATTTCTGACAATCTCAAATGTCAATTATCTCAAAAAAATTCACAAACTCACTTATACTTAGGAAATGAAACTCACTTATCCTTTCTTTACTTCTGGCTACCCTTACATAAAACCTCTTCCTTTTGAAGGACCTAATGTTACATATGATGTCACTCGACAACAGTGTTAATTTGATTTCAAGAATGAATTGATTTCTGACCAGAACCAATAGAAGACAATAGCTTGAGGTCTTTTAAAGACAGTTTATATACCCAGTTTTTTATAGTGTATATTGAATCATTAAAAACTTTTCTATGATACCAAGTGGCACAACACAAGTTACAAATACGCGATTCGCCTATCCATAACAGTTGCAGTACCAATCAGATCTTTAAATCACAATGATCTGAGGCACACTGCCACTGCGCCAGTTACTCTGCAACATAAGTTGACAAGTCCCATGTGCCTGTAATTTCACCAACACCCTTAGCGCCCAATTACCACACTCTCACGTACATTAATGGCTAATCTGAATTCTATTTACTAGGCAACAACATTTAAATTCCTCTGAATAATACAACCGCGCGGTCGCTGCTCGGTCGCCGCGCAATCGCCGCGTAGACCAACCTCGCCCGCGCCCGGGATGCATTTTTAAATTAAAACGTAAAAGCTAAATAAATAGAGCGTACTTTGCCATGACATTTAGATGCACGCGGTCGCTGCGCGGTGGCAACGCGGTCTCCGCGCGGCAACCGCGCGGTTTGAGCGTGATGGAATTCGTGTCGAATAAATACGCCCTTACCCTTCAAAATCGAAATAGTAATGCTCACATTACTACAGAAATATGTCTGGACGAACTTTTTCACAAGAAGCTACACTGACACCAACAACTTGTTAGTTGCCTTTAGAACATTTGTAAGTTTTGATTTATTGTTCTCGTAGAAACTGAACATCCTTCAGGAGACTTTTCTTCAAAACTGTGATTCTAAAATATAAGATCGAAATACAAGTGTATCTTAAAAACTTTTCCTACATCTTGTCAATAGGATAGAAGATTTCCGTTTCATATTAGCGAGACATATTATGCTAGCTTATGTGTTGGTAACAAATGTTTTGCCTACAGTTATAAGGAAGCTAATTGCTACTAATAAATCTGTGTCTACTGCCAGAAGTTATATTTCGGAATTTATTAAGGGCTCCATTATTACCGTCATTTCGATGTTTTTTTATCCAGATCGCCTCTTTCAACGAAATTTCCTGTTGTGATAAAAAAATGTTAAACATCGCAATATTTATTTTTATTGAACACCTGAGGTTTTTACTACATTTTATCTATTTTTTGTGAAAACATTCCACAATAACAATTATTATTGTTTTTTTAACATGTTTTACATTTATCATATTTGACGCAAAGATGGACAAACACAAAGGTATGTTATAGAACCAGCATCTCTCGTCTCAACGTCCGGTATAACACATATTATTTGATGCAAAATCCAACAAAGAAAAATTCCTTCAATCCGATTGGACTCAAACCGGACGTTGAGACGAGAAATGCTGGTTCTATAACATACCTTTGTGTTTGTCCATCTTTGTATCAAATATAATAAAAGTAAAACATGTTAAAAAACAATATAGTTTTTAAAATTTATTTTTATAATATCAAGTGACGGGACGAATGAATCATGCGCCTGATGATAAGCACGCCTGTCCACAGTTGCACAGTTGAAACCAGCTGCAGTGCCACGAAAAGATCGGTACTTCCACTATGCACATCACCCTGAGACATACGATGACAAGTCCCATGTGCCTGTAATTTCACCAGCACCCTTACCCTTCAAAACCGGAACACAGTAATGCTGATATTTCTGTATGGCGGCAGAAATAGGTAAGGTGGCAGTACTACCCTGGACGAACTCTTTCACAAGGAGTCCTACTGCTATTGAGTTCAATACTGTTTAAAAAGAAGCTACACACTATATCCATCTCACGAATCTCATCTAAAGAATTGAGAATTTGATAATAACACAAGTCCATTAGCAACTTCAATTGAGCCGGCTCAGGTGAGGTGCAACCTTTGGCGCGAAAGATTAGGTACCATCTAGGTTTGTCCAGAGACCGAGACCCTTCTGAGAATCTTCCTCCTGGACACGAATGGCCATGGCCAACCTGGACGTCTTTGAATAGGCTTCGAACTCAAGTCGGTCGGAGCAAGGACAATTTGTTCAGGTGGGGATTTTCGGGTGTTCTAACCTGGACTACTTGTGCTGTGCGACTCAAAACGATGACCCACCTCATATCGTGCCCTGCGTACCTTAACTCCTGCACGCTTGAGGATTTAATGGCGGTTGTCAGTGACGTGATCGGCGTGGGTGAGCTCTCGGCCACTATAGTACAATATATGTCATCGGTACGATAAAAATAGTAGATAATGTTCAAACAGGAGTTATACTCTAATAATAAAAGCATTTTATCCATCCGCTAGGACTAGTAAAAAAAGTGAACTATGTTCAGTCTTCAATTTCACCATGAGACTTCACGAGCCGTGTTCCTGAATGCTGAGAAATGTGCACGTGTTCATAATTATCGAGTAATCCCTCGAGTAAGAAACATCTTCGCGAT